TATGAGGTGTACAGGGTTGTACTTCACTGAATCAATTAGGCTGGAAAAGACCTCTGAGATGATCGAGTCCAACCTATGACTGGACACCACCACGTCAATCAGACAAGGGCACTGAGTGCTGTGTCCAGTCTTTACTTTAACACCTCCAGAGACAGTGTAGGTGACTCCATCACCTCCCTGGGTAGTCCATCCCAACAATAAATCCCCTTTCTGTGGAGAAGTTCCTCCTAATATCCAACCTAAACCTCCCCCAATGAAGCTTAAGACTATGTCCTCTCATCCTGTCACTAGTTGCCCGAGAGAAGAAACCAACTCCCACCTGGCTACAACCTCCTTCCAGGTATTTGTAGAGTGATAAGGTCCTTCCTGAGCCTCCTTTTCCCCAGGGTAAACAACTGCAGCTTGCTCACCCAACTTGTGCTCCAGGCCCTTCACCAGCTTCACTGCCCTTCTAGTAAAATTATTGTCACACAAAAATGTTACGGAAGACAAGTTTTGACAGTTGTTCAATAAGTTTGCATACCTGCAGATAAAATGTTTGGATAAAAACATCTGTGAATGTTCAGATACAACATTCAGTATTAAATCAGAGCTGGTATTAAATCAGAGCTCTATGATTGCAAAAAGTCTGTCTTATTCTTTTTTTAATGCCATACTTTCACTGTTTAATTTTAAATTATTAAATATTTCATTAGCAATTAAAGATATTTTATGAAAGAAAGTAAAATTTCATGTCTCAAAACAGACTGCATCTTGGGTTGTTTTGACATTTTTATATGAGAAAACAAAATTTTCTTTCAATATGTAAAACATTTCTAACATTCTATGAGGATATGATATTCCATATGAAAATAGGTCATGTAAAATCCTCCATCTATAGTCCTCACATTCAAGTGAAGTGAGACCTTTTGAAATTGAGAACTGTCACCTGATAAAAACTTAGGATGAATCTTCCCATGCAGGGAAAAATACAACTGCCTTGGTTGATATGAGACATGCTAGAACTCTGGGACAAGAAATGAAGTTTAAGTATCTCTGTGATTAAAATCTAATTTCTTACATAATTTTTCTTTGTATTGTGTATACTTGAGAACGTTGTGCATGTTTTTAACATACAGTTATATAGTCTTGGCCGTAGCTTGTAGCTACAAGGTAATAGGCCATGGTGTCCTGATAGGATAGAGAATTAAAGACAGGTTTGAATTTATAAAGCATTCTTTTAGTCATGCTGATGGTGACATTTAACACAAGGACTGCTTTCATACAGGGTGGATATACCTCAGTTGATTAATCCACAACTTATGGTTAATACAGAGGTCATTACTGGGTGGGTAGAGAAGACTACACTTTCTCTACCCTCACATTATATGTCAAAGGTGTGTTTGTACAATATATAATCAGATTTGTTAAATCCCATTTGTTTACAATTTTAAGTAAAATTGTTTTTTACAAGCCAAATAATCCATGAAGACACAGTTCACTGATTTAAATGGTAAAATGAGGAGTCAGTCTTCTGCACCTTGGCTGGAAGTACTATGAGGAGTGGCTGAGGTCACTTGGTCTGTTTGGCCTGGAGGAGACTGAGAGGAGACCTCATTGCAGTCCTCAACTTCCTCATGCGGGGAAGAGGAGGGGCAGACACTGTTCTCTTCTCTGTGGTGACCAGTGATAGGACCCAAGAGAATGGCCTGAAGCTGTATTAGGGGAGGTTTAGGTTGGATATTAGAAAAAGTTTCTTCACCCAAAGGGTAGTTGGGTACTGGAACAGGCTCCCCAGGGAAGTGGTCACAGCACCAAGCCTGACAGAGTTCAAGAAGCATTTGGACAGTGCTCTCAGGCACATGGTGTGACTCTTGGGGATCGTTCTGTGCAAGGACAGAGCTGGACTCGGCGATATCTAAGGGTCCCTTCCAACTCAGCATATTCTGTGATTCTGTGACCAGGTCACAAACTTCTATTATGGGTAGACAAAAGAATGCTTCACATCAAATGAATATTTCTTCTTTCTCAGTTTTTGTAAATTTAACATTGAGATAACACATGCAAATATCTGAAGTAATTTCAGGAACAGATATGTAGTATTTTCTTTTGGAAAAGAGTGTTCTATTTTGTTTGGCATTATCGTAAATAATGTATGGGAAACACTTGGGAGCTACTGATCAAAAAACCTTTCTGTTGATAACTTGATTTAGTAGATGAGACAAAAAGCTTTTTCCCTTGAAGCTGTTGGCTTAAATGAGTTCAAGGTGAGGGCTAGCTTAGGAAAGTCTCCAAAGAAATGAGCTCTTTCATTTCTTGTAGAACTCCCACACTGTCAAGTTCAATATGTCCCTGGTAGAAATGTTTGTATTCTTGGCAAAATGCTGAAAAATGGCATGAGCTTGATTACATGCTATTTTTTGCAACTACCACCA